ATTATTTTGGATTTTTTTGTATTTTGTGATTATTTTGGATTCTTTTGTATTTTGTGATTATTTTGGTATTTGTCCATTCATGATAATAATCTTCTAAAACGAAAGGTTGATTCTTCTTTTCTTTCATTAAAGAATGTTGTACTGCATTTGAACCTTTAATTTAATCCCTTAATCCCATACTCCCATAGTAATAGCTTTTTGCCACTGTCTAGGTACTATGCGTAACTAATACCTATTACAGCAGTATTTACTATTGATTTCTTATTTATCGGTGAAATGCATTGCAGATTTAGGATTTGCCTGGAAAGCAAATTCCCACTTTTAAAAAATAATTTAATTATTAGCACATGGAATAAAATGATATCCTACCCACATGTGCTTTTTAGATCAACACATCGTTTTTGACTTTTAAAAATTCCTTATTTGTACGAGTCCCATAAGGTCATCGAGTTTTAAAATGCTATGGAAAATCCATCTTGACTGTTGGGCTGTGGTGGTACCGTTGTTTGATCATCTATTTCTTTTACGGAATTCTTGTGTTATTGTTGTTTAGGTTGGATGCACACTTATCCGATTACATTCCCATTTTCATACGAAAACCACATGTGAATGAAGCGACTTACTCATAATGATATCATATTTTTTATACATAAACATATACACAACATACCGAATAATCAATGTCGGAAATTTTTTATCTCACCTCTTTCTCGTCACCGGGCTTATGTTCGTTGCCACACTCGAACCTTATTCTACATAAAAAAAAATCCTAATATATATATAAATATATAAATATATATATATATATACATATATATATATATTTATATTTATAACCCAATATTTTGTTTTCTTTATCACAATTCGAATATATTAGGCCACTTTATATTTGTACAGTATAACAAGGGGAGTAAACAGGTATGTAAACCGCTTTTACACACTGCAACAATCAGAGTACAAATCTCTGAGCATTAAAACTAACGTTTTCTCCTTCTACCCTTGACGAAAACTTTTTCTGAATAAATTGATGAAAAAGTTTCGACTACTCGGTAGCTGGTAGTGGAGAATAAAAAAAAAATTTTTTACAATACTCATTGAAATACCTGAACAATATTGTATTCCCTCTTGTATATATATATATCCTGCTCCTCCCTTTTCGATATTATATTTCCTCTGTTAAATAACAAAGCATATACTACGACTCTATTATTATTTTATTTATTTTTTTTTTATACTCTCACAAAGAACGTTATGGTTGTTGGTCTGTTCGGTCTTTTCTAGTCTGAATGCAACCTCGTGTGTTCCATAAATAATATTCCTCAACGTTCCACCGCGAACATATGCTTCTTTTTAGTTAAAAAATAAAAAATTAAAATTAAAAAAATAAAATAAAATCCTAAAAAATAACGTTAAAAACTATTAAAGAGCTTCGAGAGAACTTTTTAAAAACCTCTTACGTTAATAAGAGATGATCATGATTCCTTCACCAACGACCCGAATTAAATCAAAACAAGCAAAACTGTCTCTAGACACAAGCTTTTCTAACATGGGGTCACCCGCTTCGCCGTCTTCGCCAGTATATAGCCCTTTGGATTCACCAACGCTTTCAGGCTCTTGGCATATGAAATCTCATGCTGAGCTTACCGCTTCATTAAAAGAAGCTTATAATATGGTTAAAGAGAAAGAAAGAGGTAAATATATTTTTCTTTGAAAAAAAAAAGTCTTGAACGATTAAATATGCTGTTTAATAAAAATATACATACATATACATATATTATTCGTGTTAATTACGCGTGACGTTAATTTTTGATGATGTAATCGATATTCAACGACGGTTCATGACTCATCGTTACTATTTTTTTTTCTGCACTTATTTATGCAGATCTTACTCTTGCCGCTGAAATCGGTAAAAGCTTGCTTGAGAATAATATAGCTCTTAAATCAAAATATGAGGAACTCGTAATTGAATACCAACAGTTACAACGTAAAGAGCGAAGTAAAGCTACTTTTGCGTTACATGCTGAAAAACCAAACGTGGTTCCTATCGCTCCTCCTAATAGCTCTGTCATTGATGATAGTGATCTCGAAGATAATGATTTGGAACCACACCAAATTTCTACTTCCTTCGAATCATCACCTCAATTATATGATAGACCCGATAAATTAAGAAATCGTAAGAAGAGTGATCAACCTGTTAGTTATAAAGACCTTGAAAATATAAAAGAATTAGAACTCAGAAATCAATTACTCCAATCCCAACTTGATGATCTTATAAAGGAACATAACGATAGTGATAGAGCTAATAAAGCAAAAATACGAAAATTAGAGTCCGATATTAGTCATTACCAAGAGGTTTATACATCTGCCACCCATCAAATTGAAGTCCTTGAACAAGAAAACGAACGTTTACAACAAAAACAAAAATCAGATTTTTGGAATATTAAATATAATAAAAAATCTACAAATGATGACGATGTCATCGAAACTTTACTAGCCAAAGTTTCGGAATTAGAATCTCAAAATAACGCCGTTGAGCGTACCAAGGCTGAGATTGAGAAACGACTTCAAAGAACTGTGAGGGAGTTGGAAGCTCTCCAAGAACAATTCAATGATTTATCAGAACAATCAAAAGATTATGAGTTATTGAAGGTTGCCCATCGAGAACAAGAACTTCTTATCAATGAACTTAATGAATCTCTGGAAGAACAACGTGCTATGATCATTGGTATGAGATCAAACATGTACTCGAGAAATCCTTCTAGGTCAAACTCTTTCTCTTATTCGGATAATGGAATGATGACAAATGCCATAAGGCGAATAAGTAATCCAGATGGTGTAAATTCATTCGGTTCTGTAACAAATACCAATTCACAGCAAACTTTTGGCAGCAAGATGCGAAATACTTTACTCTCTGAATTGGAAAATGTGTGGTTCAGAGAAGCTAACCTATTTCAAAGAGATAGGAAGAAATCAATTAGCGAAACATCTCCTGCTTTCTCTCCTATCGCTTCAGAAAAAGATTTGGCAAATTTCTTTTTGAATGGTTCACAACCTGATGATGATATATCTCAATTAGATTATTTATCTGATGATGATTTTAGTTTCTTGGATGAATTTGAAGAAGATGATGAGATGGCAATGCGGAAACGAGAATGGTTTTGGAGACGGTGGGCAAGATATGTATACCGGTTACTTCGACTTATTTGGCGTTGGTGTCGGTTTATCATTATTTTATTCTGTGCGGTATTAATGGCCCTATGGCGTGGACCTGATGACATTCTTCCTAACGATATGTGATCGGATTGCGACTAGGGTTCTCAAACCATTTTAAACTTTTTATTCGTGACCCGTTGGTCTAACATTCCTTTCAACCAAATCTCCGAAATTAAAACCAAAAACCGACTAAACCGGGTTACCCAGTGACCCGGATCCCATATTTTTTTTTTTTTTTGGCTAATTTATTCGAAAATTACAGTTTTACGAACTTGAATAGTTGTTTTATTATAAAGAAATAAATTACAATTATTATTTTTAATTATTTAAGACTTTAACC